TGAGGGCCCAGTTACTAGTGCAAGGCTGTGCTGAGGTCCAGGAAGAGGAAGTGGAGGGGCGGGGTTTTGCCTTGCTCAGCTTGCAGTATGAATCAGCTGGCTGGTGTCCTAGGGCGGTAAGGCGCCTCGCTCTCCCGGTTCTGATGAGAAATTTCTAAGGTGCACGTTTATGTTGGGGCCTGAGGAGAAGTCAAGGAAACCCAACTAGGCACCCACAGTTGTGGTTGTCTGGAATGGCCATCTTCCTCCATGGCTAAGAATCATGGGAAGGAAGCTCAGTGGCGCTGTGACTTTTGAAACTCCATCCTCTTGATGGCAGTAGAGCTCCAGGAGAGATCTTGTGAGTGCTTGTCTCCCGCCCCTCCTGTCTGAAAAAAATGCCACCCAGAGACAAAGGCCCCAAAGATGGCTGCCCTGAGTTTTGCCTTCCTTTGAGTACTTTGGAAAGTGTATGTGTGTGTGTCTTATTTTCCACAATTGGCCAAAGTAAGGCTTAAATTTAGCGGAGGACACAGGACTGTTTTTTTTGTCTATTATAGACTATATTTCCATTTCCTTCGTGTTCAGTTTGTCTAGATTCCTAGTGTTATTTAAAATTTTGGTACTCTTTTTTTTCTTGTAATTTTTAGAGACTAAAGATGTCCTCTGAGATTTAGAAGGAAAGTACTCTGAAGTTAACATATGCAGGTCAATGGCTACTGCTGAGGGGTACAACACTTGTGTTATATGCCCTAGGCCCTGGTTTTGAGCTTCAATTCTGGCTTCCCTCAATGTTTCCCATGTTGCAATAGTTTCAGTCGGAGTTTATTTTTGCCTTTCAATGTGAAGCCAATCTAAGACCTAACTCTAGCCAATGTCTTGGGACTCTTCCTTTTGTTAATGTAGACTATTTCCCATTTCCTTATTTTTAACTGTTTATTTTCATTCTTTTTAGCTACTTAATGGTGTCCTTAAAAGTCTTGCAATATTTATTTGCTTTAATTTTCACATAATGAAGATCCTCTAGGAGGTTTAGAAACAAAGTTTACGCACAGAGGGCAATGGGTATTGCTAAGTATTACAATCCTTGCCTAACATTACCTAGAACCTGGGTTTATTCCCCATGACTGGAATCGGTAGTCTTTCTCATATATAGTTTATGCCATAGGGAATTTCCTAGTTCCAATATTGTGAAAAATATCCATGGCAGTAAATCTTACCTATAATATTGTTAGGATGCAATTGTAGAAATTATTAATGGTATTAATGGGTCTTTCTCCTTGTCCCTCCATCTTATTCCCCCTTCCTTCTTCCCCTCCCTTTTTTCTTTGTCACTAAACTCCACTCCCTCTCTCTCTTCCTCTCAGTGTATATACCTCAAGGCACAATTGTAGTATTACATTGACTAGCCTCTATTTTGTTTGAAAGTAGTTAGCTCTAATGAACAATCCTGTATCTTATACATGTAATGATATTTACAGTAGTTTCCATTTGTTCTTCATAGATGTCAATACTGCAAAGATAATTCCAGAAGCTGACTTGCGATGCTTCCATTGACTCACGCCTGTAATCCCAGCACTCACAAGGCTGGAGGAGGAGGATAGCTGTGAGGCTGAGGATAGTTTGGCCTCCCTCCCTACACAGTGAGTTCTATGATGATTTTTAAAATATTCCTTTTTCTTTTTTTGTCTTTTGAAACAGGGTATCTCTGTGCAACATTCCTAGATGTCCTGGAACTCACTTTGTAGACCTGGCTGGTCTTGATGTCACTGAGACCTGCCTGCCTCTACCTCCCAAGTGTGGGGATTAAATGAGTACACCACCACCGGGCTTTAAAATATTCTCAATTGTAGAATGTATCATGCTAAAAATTATTCCTCCAAAATGTTTTACTGACCTTATGGAACTAAGCAATGTGTATTTAATTAATTGAACATAAGATACTTATTTTACAGCCGGGCCATGGTAGCGCACGCCTTTAATCCCAGCACATAGAGAAACCCTGTCTCGAAAAACCAAAAAAAAAAAAAAAAAAAAAAAAAAACTAACAAACAAAAAAAGATACTTATTTTACAATACACAATGATAGGTTTATTGTTTATTTATTGATTTACATTTCTGTAATAAGTGTTAAGAAAATTTTGAAATGAGTCTAGAAGAGTAACTCAGATTAATTAAATGTATTAATTAAATGCATTAATTTACAGATACTATATATAATACATATACACTGTAATACAATAATCACATCATATTATGTTAATTTTAAATAGCATGTCTACTTAGTTTAATAATGAGGTGACTTGAATGAGAGAATGTCAAGTAGTATTTGTGTTTCTTGGGTATCCTCCAGTCCCACATCTTTCATGAACATAACCAGAACATACCCCATGGTCCTCTTCTTTACCATTTGCTCCTTCTAAGGTAGACCCTTGTTTATTTGGCATTTTTGTCCCTTTTCGTAAATTAAGTTACCTTCCCTGGACACTGCTACTTTTGCTTACAGTTGCTTACATTCCTTCATAAAACCCTCTAATAAACATATTTGTGAGATTGAATAATTTTATTATAAATTTTTCCTGGATGTTTTCTATATGTGTGAATCTATTCTGGAGGCTAAGAGAATTCACAGAAAAATAAGATATTCAGTAATTTGATATTGCTTTCATACATCAGAGTCTAAGAACTGGCCAATATTAATAATTTTCAGAACTCTGGCTATTCAGAGGCCTGCATCTAATAATCTGTACCACAAACTCATATACTGCATCATGTATTAAAGAGTAATAAACAGTATATGCACCTATAACTTCCACTTGAGTTTGACTGAAAAACTTTATAGCATGTATAATTAAGTTGTGAATTTTTTTAACATATGATATTTATTCACAGACTTTGCTGTAGTATTGGGCTTTGATGGCTTTGTATTTTATTTTTTCCGGGCATAGCTCATGGTGTCTCAGTGTGTCCTAAATTAGCTGTGAATCTGTTATGTTGTCCCTTCTGGTCAGCAACCTCTGATCATCAACCCTGAACATTTGTACTGGCTGGAATCACAGGTAAGTGCCTCCATGCACAGCTCTAACTATAAAATTTTATGGTAAGAATTCAGGACAAGAACATGAGAAAAAAGGCTCCAGAGTTGGCTCAGCAGTTCAGAGAATTTCCTGTTCTTCCAAAACCACCTGAGTTTGGTTTGGGCAACCAAGTCAATATACTAATAGCTGCAGGATAACTATAGCTCCAGGGGCTCTGACACACCCTTTGGCCTCTGTGGATAAATGCACACACATAGTATATATTCATATGCACACGGAGATAAATATAAATTTAAAACAAACCATTTTAATGAGAATAAGAACCTTGCTGTACAATGTAGGCTTTCCAAACTTACGACTTTGTCTAATACTGCCCAGAAATCTAAAGTATCAGGCAATAAAACCTTTCTCTTGAGAAGCCTTCGCTTGTGGCTGGAGGTTCTTTTACTAAATGTATCTCTCTCCCTCCATTGATGTCCATGCTGAAATCAACATTACAACTGTTATAATTAACTCCAACTTTGCATTTGAAAAGGTTTGGTTTAAATGCATATTTATTTATGTATATTTCGTTGTCTACAGTGAACTCTGAGTAGGCACTGGGATAGATGTAGTAAAGCTGTAAAATGTCATCAGGATGCAATACAAAGTTTAATGCCAGTGCTTTCCTCTTGGTTAGCTCCCAAGTGCTTTCTGAATCCTATGTGTGAAAAATATCTTAAGTATTAATGAGGGAAAAAATAACACTGATACTCAACTGAAAAAGAACAACTAAGAACAAGGCGTAGATACTGAAACCTTGGAAAACAGCCCTTGGCTGTGGAATGCTTGGAATGTTATGTCAGCACTTGTGTTTCAATGTTACATGAGAAAAGCACAAGATAAAAATACAATCTAGTGACCTATCCTTTTGGAATTTAAAGTCATTTTCATATATGTATCACTCCAAATAGGATTATGGAACATTCAGTCTTGAGAGATCCTCCTTACAGGCTGGTAGTCAACCTCCTGCTGTTGGATACATAGGCCTATTGTCTATATCAGTATCTAGAGTATGATGTCCTAGGAACCTGTGAAGTGGATCTGGTAAGGAACCAGATTTGCTGTTCTCCGTCACTGAGGTATCGGCATTTGCTTTTCTCTTCTATGCCTGAAATTAGCTCTCAAGAGCATAAGCCAACTGGGTATCATGAGAAAGTGCTGGAAGTAGAATGCTGCTGTGTGAAGAAGGGGGCAAATGCAACACCTGACCATGTGGACCTTGAGTTCTAGAAAGAAGAGCTACCTGCTAAGGGTAGGCACTTCTCACTTTCTCTTCTGTTTGTGTGATGCCAGCCTGGCCCTTTCCAACTTGATCTGCCCTTGATATGGAATGGGAATGGGAAGCTGAATTCCAAGACTGGAGCTGATTTTCTCAGGTTGGAGGAAAAAGATGTGTAAAGTTGTATAAATCTGGCTCCTCCCTATCCCCACAGATTTGATGGGTGGGAACAGAGTACCTGGAATCAACGCTTTGCACTCTCTTGGGACAACACTGCTATCTTTCAAATACCTCATAAATTTCTGTGTAGGCCCTGGGAGATTTTTCAAAGGCAGGGCCTGGTGGCAGATCAAATGGATTTAAATCCAAACTAGGTCTCTGATCTTAGAGGCATAGTGCAGTCATGTACCATGCCTGTGTCTTAGTGTGCAGCCTAGTGATTGATAGGGGAAGGGCACAGTTGCCTAGAATTCTGGAACAGGAAGTCAAGGTGGTGCTTCAGTATTGCTAGCCTAGAGTATTACTCTAGTAGCTGATTTCACAAGAGAGGGAGATTTGGAATTCAGTAAGTCTTGGTCATTTAAGCCGGGTAGAATTAAGCACTATTTGGTTTGGCCACTGTGGCCCAATGGCTAGGTAAGATTCAAGAGACCAATCTACTTTGGCTAGATGAAAAGATTCACACATCAAATAGGGGCTCCTAAATGGGGTGTTGTTCAAGAAGATTCCCCTGATGTGCTGGAGGCAGCTGTGGAGGTGTGGCTGATTTGTCAGGTGAGAGCAAAGGTGACTTTGTGGGAAGAGGGACATTGTTTGTGTTTGCAGTGCTAGGAATGACGTTGGGGCCTCTGCTGTTTAGGTAAAGGTGTCACATCTGGGCATGCAACAGTACAAGAGGAGGTTTGGTAGTTTTACTCTGATGTCATGACTCCCAAGTGTAGCACGAATCTTAAAAGTCTTATTACTAAGAACAAACGTGGAGCCAGGTATTGGGGTGAATGCTGGAAGATCAGAGAAGCAGAACAAGCCACAGCCACCTTACCTTGCTAATTCCTCAGCTGATTCTGTTCCTGAGACTGGAAGCCTCTGAGTCCTCATCCGAATGGATCTCAGCTGAACTGCTGCTCAAAAGCCTAAAAGCTTAACATGCTCTACCCAAAGGAACAGTCCACTAGGCTTGCTCATCACCAACCTACTATGAAACTGTGGAGAATAATATGATTTTTGTCTCAGGCATCAAGAACTTCAGCCATCTATAAGTCTGGTATGGTAGTATATGCTTGTATTCCTTGTACTCCGTAACCTGAGACGGGAATATAATGAGCTCCAGGGCAGTCTATATACATTGTTCAGTTTGAGGGTAATATGAGCTACATCCTATGTCAAAGACAAAAGGAAATTTAAGAAGCTGATGAGAAATAGACAATGAATAAAAATTGGATAAAAAGTAAAAACTAAATTTGAGATCAAGAATTCCATGTCTATTCCTTGTATGCCTCCTTTTAAAGTATATATTTGGTTTTAGCATGTTTCCTTCGATTGAGAGACAGAGCAAAAATTCTGCAAGATGGTCTATAACTTGAATTTCTAAAGGTATTTTAATAAAAGACTTGGAGCCAGATATTGGTATAAAAGCTGAAAGATCAGAGAAGCAAAGTAAGCCACAGCCACCTACTCTTACCTCACCAAATCCTCAGCCTGAAAAACCTTAGCCAGTAGGCTTCTAGCTGAATGAGCTTCCTCAGCTGAAAAGGCTTTAGTTCCTGTTTCCTCATGACTTATATATCTTTCTCTGCCCAGGCATTACTTCCCTCCTAGTGCTGGGATTAATGGCATGTGTGTTTCCCAAATATTGGGATTAAAGGTGTGAAATGTCAAGTACTAGGATTAGAGTTGTGTGCCATCATTGCCTGGCTCAGTTTCTCTACTAGACTGAGTCAATCTCATGTAATCCAGGGTGGCTTTGAACTCACAGAGATCCAGACAATTCGCTACCTCCCTAATCATCTCTGGTAGGATTAAAGGTGTGTGCCATCACTGCCTGGCCTCTATGTTTAATCTAGTGGCTTGTTCTATTCTCTGATCTTCAGTCAAATTTTATTAGGGTACACAAAATATCATCACAATGGTCCAGTGAGTAAAAGTGTTTGCATGCAAGCCTGAGAATTTATGTTCCATCTCCTGGAGCTCTTTGAAGGAGATAACCAACTTCTACAAATTGTATGCTGACCTTTGGAAGTACACTGCAGTGGTACACGCACACACATACATTTATACTAAATAAAGTTGTTTTGTCTTAAACTCACTTTGAAACATCCCCGCCCAAGATACTCTGAGGACATAAGCACCTCAGGGCCACCAAACAGCACAGTGACACTAACTGAAAACCTGCCAAGGCACAGTGACATGAGACAATGTCTCCTTGAGCAGCCATTTGAGGTTTTTATCTAGGCTTGTCCCAGCTGGGTTGAACTACAAGGTGTACTTCCTTTGTTGGTGTGCTAGCCTATCCTGGCTGCCGCTAGTCCACCTCACCCTCTGGGTTCTAAGCTAATGGAAGATTAGGGTCCAGTTCTCTCTTCAGGCCTTAGGAGAAAAGGAAGGCCCAATCCTCTTTCAGAGCCCTAAAGGCCACACTGCCACACTGCTAGGACTCAAGGGAAGCACCTTATCTGTTGAAACTATGTCCTCGTGGAAGCAGTCATGACCTAAAAGGAACCATTATGTTGCCCTCCTCTCCTGCCTGTCCAGTCTGGAAACAAAAAAAAAAATCACCCTTCATGACTAAATAACACTAGGCAGCTGGACAGAGTGAAAAGGAACAAAAGGGGAAATGTCCACTAAAACAGAAGGAAAAGAGTCCTGTGACATTGGCTACAGTTAGGCCTTAGATTGGTATCACGTACAAAAAGAGACAAAAAATAAAATACTTTCCAAAGTACTCAAAGCTGGGCAAAACTGAGGGCAGCCATCTTCTCTGGTGCAGTTTTCTCTGGGTGGCAAATCATGAGTCCATCAGGAAGGAGAAAACTCAGCCATGGGATTTAGATGCTATCTGACTGCTTTCTTAGCCCTTTGCTTGGAGGAAAACAGGGGCTTTGTTAATACATTCCAAAAGGATTGTGTACTGGCTGGATTTGTGTGTCAACTTGACACAAGATAGAGTCATCAGAGGAAGGAACCTCAGTTGAGCTAATGCCTCAATGAGATCCAGCTATAAGGCATTTTCTCAATAAGGTGGTTCCATCCCTGGGCATATCACTGTAGTTCTTATCAGTCAATCAGCTATTGTAGATACAACTTTTCACAAATTGTTGTTCACATTATATGAAACCTGTCTCAAAGCTTTGCAAACTATAGCTATGGACTATAAAACCTCTTAGAAACTGTTGACTTATAGGCCCAAGATGCTATCCTCATCTTGTTGTACCCATCTCTGATCCCCATCTTGTTGTACCCATCTCTGGTACAGCCACCAATGTATCTCATATTTGCCTTGTTTTATGATTTTGTTCACTAAAACCATAAAAATCCTGTGAAACTGCTTCCAGGTTGGAACATAGAATTTGGAGTAAACTCAATCTATGTTCCTAGGCCATTGTCACTCAAAACGGCTCCAGAATAAACTACCTCCTCCAGGGTAAACTGTCTGTTGTTCCCTATAAGATGGAGTTGAGGATCTTATACAGCTGAGCACAGTGGTATACATCAACCTGTTATCTCAGCACTAGGCATTTTGCCCCTCCCCCAGCTGTTCTCTCCTATATAACCCGGAAATTTGGTTATAATCCTTCTTGGTCTCCTGACTCTTTCCTGTCCTCTTGGCTTCTGGGTCCCCCTCCCCCTTCCTCACATGGCCCTGTTCAGTTTGTAGGTCATGCTCAGTCTAGACCCTTCCAGATGTCTCTGGCTATGCTCTCCTTCTTATCTACAGTAAACCTTCTCTTCTAACATACCTAGGAACAGTCATGTCCTTTTTTTGTCTTTTAAATTCACCCATGTTCTTACCAACTGAGTAGCTAGAGACATTATTACATCTTTGGCTTTGGAATAGCTCTCTCAGGACATCATGCAACTTGCAAGCAAATCCCATTATGAGATGTGCAAGGGAGGGTGAACTACAGGGCAGTATTTAACACATCAGTCTGGCTCTCATAGGTAACTAGCTAGATTACTTTTGCCTTTGTAGCCCTATTTATCAACTCTTAATACTACGACATTAGATACTGCTACTTCATATTTTATGCTGAAATCTATTTTACCATTTATATGTGTAATTAAATAAAAGTTTCTAATATATATGCATTCATCAGAAGCCCTGTCTTTTGCCTAGATAAATTCTCGCTGGACAGTGTGCATTCAGGCGTGATTTACTTGGTGGTATTTGTCCAGGAGGAAAAGGAAAAAGTTTTATATATATAATACATATATCTCTGCTTCAAAAGAAAAAAGGCTGGATGTATACCTCTGTGGTAGAGTACTTGATTGCTTTGTTAGAGGCACTGGGCTCAATCCTCAATGTCAACATGGGAATAAATTTATACATAGATCAAGGGTTGGTGATATAACGCAGCGGTAAGACTGTTTCTCTAAATTAATCAAGGGCCTGGGTCAAATGTTCAGTATCACAAACCCACCAAAAAAAAAAAAAAAAAAAATGAGCAGGAGGTGAGGCAGAAGATATTGCACTAACTAGTAAAAAGCACTTTGACTTGTGATTTTCTAGAGATGTCCCCAGGGCTCAAGCGCTTTCCTTCTACGTTTTCCTTTTTCCTTCACTTACTGGATAAGTACCACTGAGTTAATCTCGCCTGAATGCACACAGTCCAGAGAGAATTTATTGAAGCAAAAGATGAGGATTCTGATGAGGGGTGGTTTTTCACTCTTCGGCTTGAATTAGGAAAAACAAAAGGAAAATGGCTGCCTTGTAAGCTAGCTCCCTAACACTGAACAAAATGGATGCCACACATTTCTCACTTTTTTTTTTTCAGACCAAATGGGCGGGAGAAGAGGATGTAAGATGGCGCTGCTGAGCTTATCTAGAGCACTACTGCCCCCAAGTGGAATTAGTTTTAGCAGATGTGATACCATCACGGTTTCTTTCCCATAAACCCCAGCAAGGAAGAGGACTGGCCGCCAAATGGAAGCTCATTGTCTCCAAGGCACCAAGATATCAGAAAGCGGGTATATCCTAGAAGCTGGTGTAACTCCTCAAAGAACCTGAACGTCAAGAGACCCGAACTGGACCACCAGTGGCTTGGAATACTGAAAGTGTGTTCTATCCAGTTTAGACTTGGAAACAGGAAACAACTCAGACAAATGCTAACTCTCCACAGTCAAGATGACTCGCGGGTTAGAGAGCAACACTAAGTGTCAAAGAACTTATGGCAGTCTTGTGGGGTAGGGGCACGGCGGCATAGGAAAGATGTGTGGGGGTGTGAGTTTACTGCTCCTGCCTCTAAGGTAGCAGAACTTCACGTGCCATCATTGTACTCAATTGTACAATACCTGGTAGAGCGCAGATTGCAGCAGGGTAAGACCAGCAAGGATAAGCCAGTTCCTGGTGGCACAGTGTGGTTAGGAAGGGCCTAGGGTGTTTTATTGTCTGAAGGCTTCGAGGTCCCAAAACACAAGAGCAAAGGCCCGAAGAGAGAACTGGACCCTAATCCTCCATTAGCGTAGAACCCAGAGGGTGAGGTGGCTAGCACACCAACAAAGGAAGCACACCTTGTAGTTCAACCCAGCTAGGACAAGCCTAGAGAAAAACCTCAAATGGCTGCTCAAGGAGACATTGTCTCATGTCACTGTACCTTGGCAGGTTTTCAGTTAGTGTCACTGTGCTGTTTAGTGGCCCTGAGGTGCTTATGTCCTCAGAGTATCTTGGGCGGGGATGTTTCAAAGTGAGTTTAAGACAAACAGTGGCAAGCCCCATACCTTTTACATTATCATATCTTAACTGTCTTCTCAAGTAAAATACAGAAGTCCATATATTCCAAATATGTTAATATGTCCACAGTTAAGGAGATGCCAAAGAGGGTAAAGTTATAGCTTTATGATATCTGTCACTGCTGAAGATAGTCTGTTTGAATGTATTTCTGGGCTACACGGGGGAATTCTGAATTTGAGATGCCAGTTTTAAAGATTTGTTGAGTTGTTGTTTTAATGTTTTTTGGAGATACAGTTTGCTTTTTCTATTTGGAGTACTCACACTTTGTAGTCCAGCTTTCACCATCTTGAACCTACTTCTGATGTATCCACCAACTTATTTTAAAGTTGTCTTGATTTATGGCTTTCCTTGTTCTGTAAAACTATAAAAACCCTGTGACAGTGCTTCCATGTTGCAACATGGAATTTGGGGTAACCTAAGTCTGTGTTCCTGGGCCCTGATCACTCAGAATGGCTCCAGAATAAACTATCTCTTATTCCCTTTAAGATGAGAGCTGTGGTTTTTATATCAACATATGAATGCTTTATTTTCTACAGTCTAGACCTTGACATTATTTAAGTGTTAAAAAGTGCCCAGAAACTAGAACTTTTTAGAGGTCAAATGCAATGTAATTAAGTTTAAAAAAAAAAAAAAAAAAAAAAA